CACTGGGATATGACAAATTATACAGAATTCTAGATGTACACAAAAAGACACAATGCTTAAGTCCCTCTTCATATTTATATTAAATATAAATGAATTCCAAGATATGGAAACAAAAGCCTGAACTCTGGGCATGGGCGCTGTCCCTCAGCTCTTCAGCTCAAGGCTAGTGCTCTACCACTTGAGCCACAGCACCACTTCCAATTTTTTCTGCTTATGTGGTATTGAGGAATCAAACCCAGAGCCTCATGCATTTGAGGCAAGCACTCTACCACTGAGACACTTTCCCAGTCCTAGTTTTTTTTAATTTATTTTTTGAGTAGTTAATGGGAGAGAAGAGTCTCACAGCGACTCTTCTGCCCAGGCTGGCTTCGAACCATGATCCTAAATCTTGGCCTCCTGAATAGCTAGAATTACAGACGTGAGTCACTGGTGCCTGGCTATCTTTCAGTTTTTGATGAGTCTCTACTTCATGTATGCTGTGTTCATATGTACATCTTCTAGAGGATGAGGAGGGGAGAGCACAGAACTTGCGGGAAAGGGTGAAAAAGTGCAGAGGTGGAGACACTGATGAAAGTGAACTATGCAAGTCCTGGGTGGAGATGGGAGAGAGGGAATGGGAAAGAGAAAGGGAACAGAAGACACTGTATGCGAGGAAATGTACTCATTACCTGCACATAATTGTAATAACAATAAAGTAAATTAATTTAAAAAGATGTTTATTGAAGTGAAATCCAAGCAATGGAAACAAGAGATATTTTGTTATTCTGCTTTTCTTTTTCTGCTTTGTTGCTATTTTTGTTTTCTTCATCTTTTGTTTTATATGTAAGTTTATCTGTACAACTTGGGGTGGGGGGAAGGAGGGAAAAAAGTGGGAGTAAACAAGGGAAGAAGTGACATTGTTCAAAAAGAGATCAAATCTGTTTCGTTTAGGCTACAATAATAAAAAAATTATTTCTGAAATTACTGAAGAAAAATACCATTTTTCTCTGTTAAGCTTCTATTTTATTTTTCTATTCCTAAACAGACTATCACTTTTAAATGCAAATTTTAGGCAATGTGGTATTTTATAGGGACTTAACTAGTGCAGATAGAAAAATCCTACCTGTCTGTACTGCTCACTGAATTCTACCTTGTAATACTTTGTTGAAGATATCTGGGGGTAGGGGGTGGGGAGCTGAACTGAGGTCATTGTATTGCTAAGATAGCTCTCTACAAGTAACAATAAATATGTAAAAATTGCCTTGTCTCATTAGTAATCAGGAATATGCAAATTAAAACCACAATTGGAACAGAAAAACAAAAGTGATGTACTCCTTACCTGACTGATCTAACTGTAACCCCTCTTCATCACCTTTACAATAACAATTCTTAAAAATCAGTTGCCTTTCTATACACCAATAACCAATTCCCAATAACTTCAAAAATACCTAAGAAAAATCCAAATATATGAAAGTCCTCCAAATGAAAAACATAAAGCACTAAAGAACAAAGTCGAAGAAAACACTATAAAGTAGAAAAAAAATCCCATATTCATAGATAGGCAAAATGAAAATGGGCATAACACTAAACACAATCTAAAAAATCAGTTTTGTACAATTAATATACTCAATGAACTGACATCTGAAACTTTTTCAAATTTAATGAAAATGATGAAATAACAGATTCAGAAATCATCTAGTGAGAGACAAAAAGGAAACCACAATTACTGTGGTTTATCGCCCCCAAGAGTTCATAGGTTGGAAAATTTGCCTCAGTGTGACAGAATTAAAATGTTGTGGGGCCTAGAACAAAGGGATTGAGTCATTGCTTTTGGAAGAGATTAAGTACTTCTCTAAATTATTCTGATGGAAGGTAGTTCCATGAAAATAAGTCCTTATAGAAGAGAAAACCTCTCAGCTCTCATTCTTTCCATGTGATCTCTCCCTCTGTCTTCCAGCATTAGTCCTCATGAGAGTTGGTGCCTGTGACATGCCTTTGAATACTCAGACCTGTGAGCTAAAGTCTCTCTTCTTTATAATGCAGCCAACCTCAGATATTTTGCTATACTAATGGAAAGTAAACTAAAAGAGTAATAAAATTGTTGAAAAAAATCTTGGAAGCAGAGAAAAAGAAGACATATGCACATAGAAAAAGAAGATGAAGAACTGCACTGATTTTCTCTGTAGGAATGATGCTAGCCGCAGACCCAACATCTTCACAGTGCTAAAAACATCAAATTAGGAATCTATGCTCAGATTATATTTAAAAAATGAAGGCAAAATACTTTTCAGGCCTATAGAAGACCTGTGATACAATAAATGTTAAAGAGAATGTTTTAGATAAGAAAATGATATCAGGTAAACATTTCTATATAAACTGACAAAAGTAAAGGAAGAGTACTAGAAATGGTAGCTATATATAATAATGGAAATATAGTAAAATGACAAATATGTGAGTAAATACATAGAAAAGATTTCTTCATAAAAATATCTTACAGCATATAATTGATTAAAAAAACATAAGAAGGTACAGGGGTTTAAAAACAAAAACATATAAAAATAACAGTGCAAAAGAGGAGAGGAATGGAATAGAACTATAATAAGCTTGCCCTGTATTTTAAATGGTATATAATATTTTGTATGCAACCAATGACATGTTACATGAAGATATTTATTTTCAAGCACAGAGAAACTATCATCAAAGGCAAAGTGACACAGCAAAAAAATCCAATAATGGAGATCAAGTAGAATAATCAACAATGAAACTCATTCAGCTTCAATTTTATTATTGTAAAATATTGATTATAAATCAAAGCTCATTTCCATTATGTAGAGTCACTTCTGATACTCCTTTTAATGTATGTTTGTTTTAGTTATATTTTTATTATCTTTAAGTGGTCATACAAGGGAGTAACCATCAACAAATCAACTTACAAGGTATGATATATCTTGATTGATGTCACCTCTTTCATCATTGTCTCCTGTCCCTCTCAACCTAGCTCTCCCTCAATTTTTGTAATTCTTTAGGACATCCGTTGAATATCAAACTACATACTCCCCCAGTCCCCTTCCTCTCTTGATTCATCTACCTCCCCCTCCCCTTAACCTCCTTCACATACCTTTTGAGGGCCAATTTCCTGGTATTCATAATGTTGGACTGTGAGTTACTTTTTCATGTGATTACACCACTTGAATTCTCATTTGCAAATACATACTTTGGTTAATGCATTTGTGTACACTTGCATGTAACCATGTATGTGTTTACCTATATATTTATATAATAGATCTAGTTTCCCCATATGAGAGAAACAGAAAGAGTCTTTTGTCTCAATGTATCTTTATAGTGTTTCCCTAAAGGTCTGTGCTAAAGATTTAAAGATTTACATCAAGACCAGTCAAATCAAATTCTATTGTCCAGATGAAGCAGACATTTCCTATATTATAAATTCTCTCTCTCTCCCTCCCTTTCTCCCTCTCTTTACCCCATGCTAACTCATTTAATTCAATTTTATGATACCAAACAGTGACATCAGCATGAAGCTGGACTTCGATACTGTGAGGCCATTTACGTATAAACTGCTTTCTACACGTAAGGTTTCACCCAAAAACTGCCTATAGAGAAAGAATTAAACATGCAGTATTTTGTATTCATTTGACCAAGTTAAATTACTCAAGTCAACATGTATTTCTTAAGCACTTATCATAGTTATATGTACAATAAAAGCTGAGTATTTATTACATTATAAGGAGCTTTTCATCTTGGGATGCTGTACACTGATAAATGAAGCGCCATACACATGTCAGTACAAGAAGGGTATCATTAAGGGAGACAATAGTGCTGTGGAGTATTATCCACAATATTCTGGGATGAGATTATAGTTCCTGGGAAGATCTGGGCCTTAAAAGGCAAAGAGGCAATTCTTAGTCCTTGCATAGGCCGGCCATCAGTGATGGAGGCAACAGGTAGTGCTTTAAAGAGAGAGAGAGAGAAAGCATTGTGAGTAAACACACACGAACACTAGCCACATTCCAGAATTGCTGAGTCTTTCACTTCATCTGTAATTCTTGAACTACATTCAGAAAAACAGTAGGAAGTAAGATTGGGGTTATCCCAGAGGTTCTTTGAAGGTGAAAGCAAGTATTGGTAATTCAGGAGATATTTGCATTAGTTTAAATAGTTACATTAGTTATTTCTACCCTAGCAAATTTAATACTATTCTACTGCCTCTACTCTCTCCTCATATATTATTATTTTACTTACAATGTTTCTATAACATCTCATTTGATCAGGTAGCCAACATATATGTACCCATTCTCCCTTTACTGTACCTACTAATTGTTTCTATCATTCTATTAACAACTTTATTTTTACTAATTTTTTCTTTCCAATTTATTCTGTAGGTTAAAATTTTACATAATTAAGCTAATTGAGTGCATATACAATAATTTGAGTGCTGATGTATATTTTAATATAACTTGCTCAATTATTTGTACAAATTTACAGTACCAGTTGAGGTTTTAAATGTAGTAGTCTGTACGGATCTTAATTTTTGCCTCTGAGTGTGTTGTAGGTGCTGCTAAGCCTCTGATAAATATTACTCTAGGAAAGATTACTGCTTTAAGAAAAAGAAACTTACTCTCAATAATAAGCCTGAATAGAAAGCACATTGTGGTAAGTGAAAGTTTGCATGCAGTAAATAGGAGAACATTAAAAGATCGGATTGGATAACTATCTGTGATTATCTTAAGCAAAGCAATAGGTGAGACAAGTTGTTTTGGTTACTTCCTCTAACAGCCAACACAATGGGGAAAGTGAAGGAAATGTTCCATGAACACCCTGAAAAGGGAACCAGAAAACTTAACATGCAAACTTGGAGAATGACAACATTTAAAAAAAAGCCAATAGAAGAAAACACCTCCAAATATAGTCTGAGATACACGGAAGACAAGCATTCACTGGCATTGGAGTTTTCCTTGGGCTGCAAGGAGATAAGTATCAGATTTGAGTTTTTGACCTTCATCATGTTTCACAAGCAGTTCCTTGAGATTGGGTTGGTGCTTCTGGCCTCTTCTGTCTTTTCCCTAGAAGAGAATCTGGTTCTTTTCCAGCCAAGAATGACCAGAGAGAGTTTACAGCTACTGAATAATTTGCAAACCTCATCCATCCAGCAGTGTCTACCACACAGGAAGAATTTTTTGTTTCCTTGGAAATCCATGAGTCCTCACCAGTACCAGAAAGAACATATACTAGCCTTTATTTATGAGGTGCTACAACAGATCTTCAGCCTCTTCCAGGCAAAGACTTTTCTGGGTCTTCAGAAGGAAAACCATACAAAGTTCCTCACTGAACTTCACCAGCAGCTGGAATACCTGCAAGTATTCATGAGACTGGAAGCAGAGCAGCAAAATGGTGCCTGGGGTGGTGATAACCTTAGATTACAGGTTAAAGCATACTTCCGAAGAATCCATGCTTACCTGGAAAACCAAGCCTACAGCAGCTGTGCCAGGATCATTGTCCAGGTGGAAGTTAACCGCTGTCTGCTTTTTGTACTCACACTTACAAGAAGTCTGAGGAAATGAGAACTACACCCTTGAACATTGTGGAGAAGGAGTGCACTGTGGGGTTTTTGTTGTTGCTCTTGTTGTTTGTTTTCTTTTGTTTTATGATACTGATGATTCAACTCTGGACCTTATAAATGCTAGGCAAGTGCTTTACTACCGAGTTTCATCCCTAATCTCCAACTATAGGTTTTAAAAGCATAGGACTGGTAAGGAGTGAGAGAATTTATATGAACATTTTAATATATTTTAAATCATATATTTTAAATCATACAATGATAGCATTGTTTCAGTTTTGTGTGTATGTATTTAACTGCATTTTAAGATTATGTTGATTGACCACAATTGTTTTAATTTGGCCATGTCACCTTTTCTTTTTTACTCTTTTACATTCTTTGTGAATAAAAATTTATTCATCATTGTTTCATAGTTGATTCTTCAAATGGGTAAATTTTTATTGCAGTTAGCAGGTGGTATGATAAAAAATATGTTCCCAATGTAGTATTTTAGTTAATATAGAATATTCATTCCAATGAAATTGGTAGAGGAAATGAGAAATACTAAGAATAGTTTGCTTCATAAGATTTAAAATAATACCATATACTGAATAATTAAATTACAGGAGACACAATAGAAATATTAGCAAGGAGTCAGAGAAAACACACACTCATACACATGCACATACATACACATTCACATACACAAATTCAGTCTCACTCATTGCAACAAAAATACAAATTTGAATGAAGTATCATGCTGTTTCAACCTATTAAGTTCAGGAAAAGCCAATATTTAATTAAGAACAAAAACGACTGCTGTAAGATATTGGTGAGATACTGTTACAAATTGTCAGAGTACCAGAAGTTGTTACAATCACTACAAGAGCAATTTGTTAACAACTACTAAAATTACAGATCATATCGCCATTGGCCCATGCATTTTAGACATAGAAATGTATCTTATAAAAAATTTGCTTTTATATCATTACTACAGCATTATTTATAATATCCCTTATTATATTATTTATGTATCATTATATACTACATTATAATATCATCATTTACAATATTTAAAGGTCGGAAGCCATTTGAGCATTCCTAATTAGAGATAGCTAAACTATATTCATTTAAGACACTCTTTTCAGTTGGAGTAAACAAAAATGCCTACCAGGAAGAGAAGAGATCATCCTACATTAAAAGAAAAAGTCAGATACTAAAAGAAATGGGAAAAAAAGAAAAATAAGTAAGATACAGGTCAGTAGACATAAATGCTCTATTTGGTAAAAAGGTAAAATAAAAAGGAAATTCATATTGGTACCTACTGTCTATGAAGAAATAAAGAATCTGTGAGAAATAAATAGCAATAATAAATTTCCTGTACTTGGGTTAATGGAGCCTGAGATGGGGGAAAAATATGTTGAGCAGTTTTTGCAGCTCATTTTCAAATTTTAATTTTGACTCATGTGAATATTACAAACTAAAATAACGAGTTCAAATGTATATAGAAAGCCCGTTATCAGAACTATGCATGAGGAAGTCTGGCTGGTAGAAAGGAGTGCAGGTGAAAAACAAAGGAGATAAGAAATGGCTGGGTGATGGAGGTTGGAGAGGAGGCGCTGGTGCTAAGGATGAATGAATAGATTACAGCGCTTGTAGCCAAGAGCTCCCAGAAATCATTATGGAACAATCGTGGGACCAGAATGTGTTAAGTTCATTGAAATGTGATGACTTTGACACATTGGTCATCTGCAGAGCCCCAGCCCTAACTCCAGAACTAGTTCTACTACTTCATGCCACGTTCTGCACCTGATTGATTGCATAGCTGAAGTTAAAAGCTGAATGTGAGAACATTCTGAAGAACAAAAAAAAATCTTCTAGTTCATGTACTTAGTAAAAGTAAGTACATTAACTATTAGCTGATAAATCTAGATTTGGTATGAAAGGATGGGGTAGGAAATGAACGGGCTTCTCTAAATGGAGCAGTTACCTGGAAGAGTTAAAGGAGACAAAGAAGAAGAAATGGGTGCCAGGAGCCGATCCTTGCTGACTTTACAGTGAGGCCCAGGACTTGACTTGTTTACCTTCAAGTTCACACAGAGGTAGCAACACGGAGAGAGCAGACATACCACACCTGAGGGAAAGCGCGGGTCACTTTGTTTCTCCTGGGCTGGAGAATATTTTTGTTGTTTTTCTTCTCCAAACCAGGAAGCTTTTAGGACCAAATCTGTCATCTAACACGTGATTCAATTCCCAAATTAATTTTATCCCCTTTTCTTAGGTAAAAACAAGTCTTTAGATATAAATTAACATGCTTAGCATAACACAGCAAGCCACGGAGCTAGCAAACGCAAGAGCAAAATGGTTCTATCTCAAGTTACCCTGATGCAAAAGGCTACACTGTGTTCTCAAAACCACAAACCTGAAAAACATTGTGTAATGTTACTGGAAAATAATTTATATCATTAATGATAATAATTTTCCCTGGCTTTTGTTTCATAATATTCTTTGCATTCTTGCATTAAAGAAAGGACTTTTTCTTCCTCTAGATACTTCCTTTAGGTACTTTCTGTTTTCATTCCCTTTTCTCAGGTAAAAACAAGTCTTTAGAGATAAAGTAACATGCTTAGTGTAACACAGCAAGCCATGGAGCTAGCAAAAACAAGAGCAAAATGCTTCTATCCCAAGTTGCCCTAATGCAAAAGGCTACACTGTGTTCTCAAAACCACAAACCTAAACAAGGACTTTTTCTTCCTGTAGATATTCTTTTACTAAGAACTGAGGAGACATTGAACACACATAGGCAAGGCCACTAGAAGGAATGGTCATGGTTACTATCACTGAAGAATGTAGAATGCAAAGCCTTGTTGTTTCTGGGTAACAGTCAGTAGCAAAGTGGAAGAAAGAAGGAGGAAAGACACTGAATAGCAAAGCCCTCCCCCTTCTGTCCCTTAGCAAGATTAGGAGGAGAGCAATGGGAATATGAATCCAGAGTAGCCTCTTGCTCCTGGATATGCAGGATATGACCTGAGATTCTAGCTCAACTTTGGCTGTCTAAACCAGTGATTCCAAATATCCCCTATGAGTCTTGAAGAAAATTCTATTATTCATACAGGGACTACCAAAGAAGGGAATAGAATGGACAGGCTACATGGAAAAGTAGAAGGGAAAGAGTCAAACAGTAGGCCTAGGCTGAATTTTTCCTGCTGCTAGGAAAGTAGGCTGTAGAGATATACCCCCAAAGAGGTCACTATCTGTGGGGATTGGAATTCTAACCAGTGTGAAGGAACAGAAATTGAATGCTAATTCAGTTTCCTTGTTGAGTAGAGGAATGGGAGAAATGGGGTCGAAGAGCCTGTCAGGGATCAAACGCTGAATATGAATCTTCCTTCCTATTTTGTAAAACAGACTTTCCTGAGACGTCCATTATTTGCTTCTGGGTTTGTTTCTCATCTCCGGAGAGAATACTGTCTACAGAGGTAAGACCACAGAAAAACAAGGATAGACCCCAGCCAACTTTATGTCTCGACCAATCAAGCTTTACCACCAGAATTTCCGGGACATAGAGTGAGTTTCTCACAGAATCATAGCAAAGGTATGGAGTGCTAATAAATTGGAAAGTTCAGTTTGTTAAGAAGTTTATTTGCCGGGCGCTGGTGGCTCATGCCTGTAATCCTAGCTACTCAGGAGGCTGAGATCTGAGGATCGCGGTTCAAAGCCAGCCCGGGCAGGAGAGACCGTGAGACTCC